ATAAAAGGTGGGACTTGTAGTGTATGTGTAGCTAATGATTTAGCTTTAGGTGCTTTGCCGGATGCTTCGAGTAGTGATTCATTCAACTTGTTTTACACTGCAGTACATACTCTGCACAACACTATACACACCAGTCCTGTGCACACATCACAGCATCATTGGGTGGAAGCCTAACACAACCGTTCGGTCGCTATAATAATAATCGGATCTCAATATTATTCACTCATTCAATGAATACGAGTGAAGAGTGAGAGAGAAATGAGAATCAATTGTCGGTTCGCTTCTTATTTGTGGTGTTCGCGTGATTTGTGATACAAAACTCAAACACTTAAGAAGTTTTCACTCAAAAACAGTGTTCACAAACTTCTCGAAAAGTCTCCCGAAGTTTAGTTCTTTATTAGAATTATTTTCCAATCACTTATTCGTTAATTTAAATAAAACCAAAATTGAAACCAATAAACAATAAAATGTTTATAACAAGGCTAAGACCTTCACTCACTTCTAAGCAAATAGATAATGACAATCGTATACTCATTAAAGTTTTCACATTAATTGTGTTATGCATTACATTCAGTCAATGCTTACCAATCACTTCCAGACGAACAAGAAATGTTCAATCAGATGTCGGNCACTTCTAAGCAAATAGATAATGACAATCGTATACTCATTAAAGTTTTCACATTAATTGTGTTATGCATTACATTCAGTCAATGCTTACCAATCACTTCCAGACGAACAAGAAATGTTCAATCAGATGTCGGCGCTATGGTATGTATTATGTTTTATTAGTACTATTATTGCTATTATTGCTCATATTCTCTCCCATTTCTTATCATTATTCATAAACCAATAATTATATAAATTGTAAATTCAATTATATTTGAGATGAGTTAAGCCAATAATTCGGTTGCATTTAATGTCAATCATTGATAGAATATAAAGTATTGATTAAAAAAAATTACTTAAAAGAGATTTGAAGGAACTTTAAAAGTTTTGCAAACAATGTTCTGCTATTGAATTGGGATAACTGTGTTAGTAGTAGTAGTAGTAGTAATAGTGATGCCTTTCTTTGTTTTCACTTTCTAACACTTTTATCGATTTCGTGTCAAAAGTCTAACTTTTTTATCTGTTTTTATATCAAGATATCTTTTTACCCTTTTTATTCTGTTAACTCACCTCTTACCCTATGTCTTATTATTAGCGCTTTTATTGCAATCTTTTCAACTTATTAGAGAAATAACGTGTCAATGTGAAAGCTATTGCAATACAAGAACTGATCCCAAACTTTGAAAAAGTTGAAAATTCTTGAGTGGAAGAGATCAACATTTTTAGTGGTATTTTCGTGAGAAAGAGCTTAGAAATGGTTGTGTGAAGTGCACTGAACTGTCAGATAGTGGGTAACTGTTGGGGACCTGAGAAGCGCTACTCTGCGTATTGAGTGCATCAGAGCTGAGGGATGTGTGGGTGTCATCACTTGAAGCTATGATAATCACCATCAGCTGCAATGCAATCATGCATTCAGACAAATGACCCTTTCGTACACTTTTGGAAGACTCCCTCTTCGTCTACAATGGCTTACTCGGGGCCTCACCTCTGCCTCCAGTCTAAGACATTGTGATCGGACGTTGTCTTCACTTTCATCTTCACGTCTCTGTCTATCAAATGATTTCTATTTCGCGAGTCAAGTGTTTCTCTTCAATGGCTTACTCGGGGCCTCACCTCTGCCTCCAGTCTAAGACATTGTGATCGGACGTTGTCTTCACTTTCATCTTCACGTCTCTGTCTATCAAATGATTTCTATTTCGCGAGTCAAGTGTTTCTCTTGTATTCTCGTTAGCCTTGAATTATATTTGAGTTTTAGCCAAATGTTAACAATCCAAACAAAATATCATACCTTTTAAAACAATTACTGAATTACCGAATTATACAATAAATTTTATTTAATTTGAATCCAAATATAAATCTAGAAGAGATTATCTCAATATCTCAATGACAATCGTAAAAAGATTAACACTTTTTCCAGTTTATTGTTATTATGGTATAAATAAAACATTTTAATAGTTTTACATCAAATAAAGTTTGAGTTATGAAATGATTTGATTCGTTAAGCATTTTATAATGAATTGATAGACAAAGTGTGGGGAATGGGATGAACAATAGGGAAACGGTATTATTAACAATGACCCTGAATTTCTCCATCCGTCAAATGAGCATAAAATGATCAAAAAACTCGAAATCGTGATAAGACTTATAATTTACAATAAAGTCTTCATCGCTTGCAATGATCTAAGTTTTAAATAACAAAACTTTTCTTATGTACTTTTGGCATCAAATCAATGATATTCTTATATATGAAATAATAATAGTGTCAATAGTTTCAATCGATTGTCTTTTTTACCTAAATTGTCATTTTTCAGTGCAATTTAATCACTTATATTATAATGATATCAATATTAATATCATATGATATGAGCCTTAAAGAACCAGAGAGACGCTAGCTATTTTTATTTAATTAATAATTTGACTCAGAATCCAATTATTCATAAAATATTCATAGGTTTACGGTAAGATAGTAACTATAACTTATCAGAGTACAAGTAAAATATTACTAATTATTTATATATAAAAAATAGCTAGCGTCTCTCTGGTTCTTTAAGGCTCATATATGAGTGCAATAGTTATCGATCGCCCGTTTGAGTCACAAATCCTAAGAATTCATGAGTCATCCCATGTTTTGGTTACCAAATGCTTAAACACAGTTGGGATGACTGTTTAGATCAGTGTTTGAGATCAATGGCCAAAACTATAACAACTCTTCCGCTGAATGTATAAAACATAAGAAGTGTTCAGAAAGTCTTGAATCATAATTAATTGTACACAAAACACCCACTCGTTTCTGTATTTAATGGTCAAAAGTCTTTCACATTCCCAGTCTGTGTTCAACAATCCCAGTCACAAGATATAGATAAGCAAAATACCGACACTTCGAAAACTAAAATAAATTTATTTACTGTACAGTAATATATTCGTTTTCATCCATTAAAACATTTATTTCTTGTTTTTTAATGAGTTTTCTCATAAAACAATCAATAAAATAACTGAATTTATATTAATATATTCCAAACCTTATACAATATACAGTATTATGAAGTCAATTAAAGGCTTAGACATATCAAATACATTTAATATTTAAATTTTAGTATATTCCAGGATAAATTTCGATTAAAATGCATATAATTTTGTTTTATTTATTTAATATTCATTAGAAAAGACTGAATAAAAACATTGAATTTATTTCTAATCATTGTTTTAAAGCTGTAAAAAGTAAAATTAAAAAATTAAAATGCTTTAATATACTTCACAATAATTTTTTTTAATGATAGACTGATTGAAGGGAAACAATAATCAGGTCTTTGGGATATCCCTTGTCATTCATATTAATTGCTACTAATATCAACTGGTATTGCATTTTTCAATTGCATTGCTCATTAATCAGTTGTCATTAAATAATTTCAAAAATTTATTAAAAATATGAAATTAAAAAATAATAACTTTTTTAAACAGAAACGAAATAACAATAGAGTCGGGAGACTATAAAAAGTAAAATTCAATTGAAAAAAGTGAAAAACTATTCACGCAATTGAATTCATGAGTGAAATGAAGGTCACAATAGGTTTCTGTTTGATTTGATTCAGTATTAAGTCATTGTTTGTTAGAGTATTTACTTTTGTGGCAAATATTTTAAACATATATTCCATGACATGCTTTAGAGTTTAAAAGTCATCGCATTTTGACAAATTGAATAATGGATTTAACGTTTAAAAAACATTATCTAACTATTAAGTCATATTCTGAATGTTTTGAAAAAATAATAAATTTCAAAACAAAAAAGGGAATTGACTTGAAAAAAATAATCGCCTTTTTTATGAAAAGTTATTCATCTCTTTATAGAGAATTTAGTGAAAGAATTGGGATTTCGTTCAAATCACTACTCATTTCAAAATGATGACTAAATTGTTTTAAAATATTTAATACAAAATTTCCATATTTTCCCAGAATCTTAGCAACACTTTAATTAATAAATTACTAATATAAGTTATAATTACTTATAATTATTAATTTTCACTAAAAATATTTAATGCTAAATTATAATATACACATGAAATGTTCATAAAAAATTCGCACAACAAATACTTTCACGCATTCAAAATAAAAACAATTAGTATACAAAATTGAAAAACAAATTCAAATGAATTTATAATGAAGTTTTTGTTTATAAATTAAAGCCTTCAAAACAATTAGAGGTCATCATAGCGCAGACTTTCTATTATATAACCAATTATTTAACTTAAAAAATGATTGTCAAAACAAAAACAAAAGAAAACAATAACATTGTCTCTAATTTGCATGAATAGCTATATCTGCAAAAGTTTGGGTATATGAATGAGTCGGCCGCCGCTAACCTGGTCTCCGAGCAAACCTATTCCGATGCCGTCATTGAATTTCAACGCTTCGCTGGACTCAACCAAACAGGTAATTATGTCTAGTAATTACCTAGGTCTAGTAATTGATTATTGAAAATGTACTGTACTTTACTTTAATTTACTATACGGTACTGTACTTAAAGCGGACTAAAAGTGAACTGGAATTTAATTGGCAATAAATGAACTGTTTTTATAGGGATACTGAATGACGAGACCATAGTGATGATGAACTCTCCCCGATGTGGTAATAAAGACAAAGTCGGACACAGCGAAGACGCCAAACGAAGGAAACGCTATGCACTGCAAGGTCTGCCCATTCGTGTCCTTACTATCCACTCAATTAGTTATATAACTCAAACACTACTTGTATTTGTTTGAAATCAATGTTTTCAAAGTGAATGAAATATTGTCTGATAGAAAAAAAGTAAAGGCAAAAGCATTGACACACTTGATTGCAAGCAAACAAACAAAATGCTTATACTTTGTAATTGTTTAATGCATTAATCTAAAGAAACTTAATTATTATTTATTAACTTTTAAAAATTAACGTCAACTGACAACATAACAAAATCATTAAAATATTCATTATTGTAACAAATTTTAATAAATAATCAAAAAAAATGTTTGAATCACAATGGGCTATAAAAAGTAGAGACAATTAATTAAAACCCTTTCCCGGAATATAATATAATACAACTCTATATCTATTCATTTAATGATTCACTTCTATTGAAAATACTTTATCAGACAATATTGAAATACAGGGAAACTATGCATCAATATTATAGATAATTATTTTGTTTTTGTCTAAAAATATAATCAAATTAATGCTTAAATAGGATCTAAATGGCGGCGAACGGACTTAACGTATAGGATATCACAATATCCGACAAAATTTCAATCATCAATATTATAGATAATTATTTTGTTTTTGTCTAAAAATATAATCAAATTAATGCTTAAATAGGATCTAAATGGCGGCGAACGGACTTAACGTATAGGATATCACAATATCCGACAAAATTTCAAAATAAAAAGGCTGAGATCGACAAAGAAATAGCGAAAGCATTTAAGCATTGGTCAGAAGTGACACCCCTTTCATTCGAGGCTAAAAAGGAGGGGAGGGTTCACATCGACATCAGATTTGTGAGCGCAGAGCACGGGGATGGCGACCCGTTTGACGGTCCGGGTAATACGTTAGCGCACGCATACTTCCCACAGTATGGCGGGGACGCACACTTCGACAATGAAGAGTATTGGACTATATCCTCATATGCCGGTGCGATCAATGCATTTCAGACACCTTATTATCGATATAATAATTAATGTTGACTACAATTATAGGCACAAATGTCTTCCAAGTGGCGGCCCATGAATTGGGACACTCGTTAGGGTTGGGTCACAGCAGTGTTAGGGACTCATTGATGGCTCCCTTTTACCAGAAATATAAACCAAAGTTCAAACTACATCAGGACGATATACTCGCCATCCAAGCCCTATATGGTGTCCGACACACTGCCAGTGATCCGGCAGACAAACCGGAAAAGCCTAAACCCTTAGACCCAGACCCGAGTGCTGACGGACCAGATCTATGTCAGGACAGTAGCATCGATGCGGTCACTCGTATTAGCGACGGCACGACATTTGTATTCAAAGGCAATCATTACTGGAAAGTCGAGACAAACGGTTTGGCCGACGGATACCCGCGAAAGATCTCAAGTGATTGGGACGGACTGCCCGGCAATTTGGATGCTGTGCTCACGTGGGCTGACGGCAAGACATTCTTCTTTAAGGTATTCATCAGTTATTTATAATAAACACAAATATTAATGAGTTATCGAAGCATTCAATTAAAATCAATCAATCATTTGTCAAAACGACTATTATTTTTGACACAAATAATAGGGCGATAAGTATTGGAGATTCAAGAATATGCGAATGGATAAGGGATACCCTAAACCTATTAGCACTGGCTTTGCAGGCATTCCTGACAAAATTGATGCCGCATTCGTATGGAGTGGTAATGGAAAGTCCTATTTCTTCAAAGGTATTCAAACTATTATTTAATAATTTTGAGTCAATTCTTGGAAACAGGGAATTAAATACACATTTTAAACATACTGTATATGCAGTGAATTAAAAATAACTCCATAATTGATTAAAACTATACAAACTTTGTTTCATAATAGGCAACGAATACTGGAGGTTTGACAGCAAGAATGACCCCCCGGTTAGCAAACAATACCCCAAACCCATCAAGAATTGGAACGGTTTGCCCAATAATATCGACGGCGCCTTCAAATGGGAGAACGGAATGTCATATTTCTTCAAAGGATCTCAATATTTCCGCTTCAATGACGTCGACTTTGAGGTCAGTTGCCATCAATTCATAGAAACAATTGTCATCTTTAAATACGATTAATCTGATCAATAGGTGGACACAAAAGCTAAGCCCCCGTTCCCACGACAGACTGGTAAGTGATACTAAAATGCAAGGGTCTGAGTGTCTGTAATACTAATGAGGTGTCTGTCCATATGTGTTGACAGCCCAGTGGTGGTTTGACTGTCAGGCCGCTAGTCGTAAGCACAAGAGGAAGGATTTGCGGACCCGAAGCGGTAGTCTTGTGAAAGACGACTCGCACTCCGTGTTTGTGGGGAACGGCGACAGCAATGACATGGACTACATGGCCGACAGCCAGAGACCCACAACGGCGGCTCCAATGGACGCACATATACTAAGGGTAGACAAAGACGATAAGGAGTGGCGAATGCACGGCCGGCCCGATCGCGACGAGGCGGCGGCCTTCGAGTCCGGGACAACCTCTTTGAGTTCATTCAGCTGTAAGACTAACCCAATACTAATGCTTTCATTTCTATTGATTTCAATTTTCAAACATGTATTTTATGGGTCAGCTTCTGGTGATAGACTATGATTTGGTTCATTAATTAAATTACAAATACATTAAAACTGTGTTTAATTTGTTGTCAATTAAACGGACGAATAATTAGACGAATTGTGGCTTCAATGCGATATTTGTTTTGAATGCAATCACTAATAATATGCTGTATTTAATTCAATAATATACAATACTATTTGCAATCATATTTGTGAACTCAACCAACGAAACACACACTTTAATAACGTTAATATATTTTAATAACTTTTTATAAATACTTGTAAATCATCTCATAATTCATTTGGAATTTTACTTAATTTATATACAAAACAATCATTAAATCATTCACTCAAACATCTATTGGTTTTTATCCAACAAAACAATTAATAGTTTCTCTTCAAAGAAGAGTTAATACCGGTATTCAATTGTTAACATCTGTCACCCAACCCAACCCAATAACCTTAACCCCTAACCCCCAAAACAATGTCTCTTTCGTGCCAATCATTACATTCCTATATAAGCTGTCGTTATAATAATTTTATGTAATTTATTTGTAGTCAAAACACCATTAATGTAGTTGTGATACAAAACGCTATCATTTAATAAATCAATTTTTTGTGTAAAATCGCTCAAAGCTTTCACTCAATTCATGTTTGCCTTCAAATTATGCAAATTCTTAGCAGCGCTTAATATATTTAACTATAATTATAGTTCAAACCAAACCTTTTATGTGTTAATTATCGGTCTCCATGTCTGTCCCTTCGCTATCATCTTCACAGTTGCTGTACTTCTTCTTCACTGATTCTCTTATGAGTAAACCTTTGGCTAATTTCTTCCAGTTTTCAATAACGCGTTTCTCTTTCTTCTCCTTTTCCCTCTTCCTCGCGATCTCCTGTTCCTCATCCCAGGCCGCGATCAGAACTTCTTTAAATTCTTGACACACAATATATCCATCCATAACAGGGTGGGCGCCTAACCCCCCGCAGTTGTTATCAAAGCCTGTGATAGCGGCCGCGCAGTCTATGTTTAACTTATTTGCGATGCGTAAGAGTCCGGGCAATTGGATGTGAACACAGCCTTTGGGTAACATAGAGGGCTGGTAGAGGTCAACGTTTCCGAAGTTATTGCGGGGAACTTTGCCATCCATGGCCTCCGGAGGGACGTATGGGTCTGTCTGCCACTCGCCAAACACTTCGAGCGGCAAATCCTTTCGCAATACTTTGGCGTATTTGTCCCATTTTGGCCGCGATTTCACTAATTTATAGGCACTTTCACCCGCTCTAACCGTCCGCACAAACCTAAGCCACGTCTCTCTGGACCGCAATAAGTGGACGCACTCTCGCGCATAGACCGGCTCTCCCCTGAAAAAGCCGAGAGGGGGTGCATCCGAGGGGTATATCCCCTGGAATTTCAATAAATCCTTTTTAAGTACATAAAGCGGATGATTCTTATAGTCGCCAACTTTGGTGGGAAGGGGTGTCGCAGAGATCTTCTCTTCAAACTCAATGTCCTCTGATTTTTCAGCAGAGCTTTTATTTTTCCTCTCAAACGGTGTCAGCGTTTGTGTCCACCAGTTTGGATCTGTTCGACGCCTTTTCATCGCAACACTCATCCAGTCATCGCAATATCTTTGAGTCACTTCTCGTATATATCCGTCGGAATCCAATGCAATCACATACGAGAGATGAGGGACTGATTTGGACGCCGTTTCCATCGGTTTATCAACCAAATCGTGGGACAAATCCAAACAAATCCATTTCTTTTCACTCTCGACATACACTTCAACCCAAAGATCAAGTCTTTCATTAGTGTCAACACTTTCATCATCTGAATCAGAGATGACCACAATTTTAGGCTTTTTTGACTTTGATTTCTTCGGAACTTTGTCTCCATTTGGGATCACTTTTGGTTTGTTCTCTGTTGGAGATCTTCTCTGATTTTCACTCAGAATAAGATCAACGGCTTTAATATCGACCGGATTTAAGGCATAACAAAGTCTTATATTATATTTTTGACACAAACTTCTCATTAAACAAATAAAAGTCAAATTCATTTCATTGCTATTTCGAGCCACTCTTTCCTGAAGACATCGGCAAAGGATGTCATTCATTGTTTCATTTGATTGTGTTTTAAGGGGTTTTAAATGAAAGTTATGTTTAAACCAATCGACAAATTCATGGAAGAACTTAATGGTTAGCCTTTTGGGAGCTTTTAATTCATTGCCAGTAATGGAGAGAGCGATCGCTTGAATCAACTCATCGTTTATTGAATTATTTAAATAAAAAGCTCTTGAGATCAGCAAAAGTAAAGACATTTTGTGTTTATTTGACTGCAATTCGCGTTTAAATTGATTGATTCGCTGTCGGATCCAATTGTTCACATCAAACGCCTTCTTCTTCTTGTCGGCAACTCCTGTACTGATAGTAATGTCGACCCCTTCTGAAGGTATCTCCGGGTTGTAGTCATCGAGTTCTGCGACCGCATTGTCCTTCACTTCCTCCCAGTCGTCGCCATCATCTGAACTACTGTTGTCCTCCGGTTCTTGTGATTCACTTTTCTTGACAATTGGCTTAAGACTCGTCTTCTTTCGTTTGGCCCGAGATTTGGGCTTAAATTCGGTGTCACTTTCGATGTCCTCATCGTTTGCCACCACCTCTTCATCTGATCCGTCAAAGTATTTGCTTTTGGATGCGTTTATCTGTGATGTCGATGCCCTCTGCGATCGTCGCAAACCATTCACACCATTGTCTGTCTCTTCATTGCCGTTGACATCGCTTTCAGACAATTTGTGGCATTTCTTTGCCTTTTGGTTGCCATTAGTTTTGGGCGTCTTTTTGGCCGACCTTTTGGGCATTTCTATGGATATTAAGCATTGAATTGATTGAAACAAATGCAAGCATCCAATGAATCACTCGTTCATTGATTTTCACTAAATTGTAATCAATTTTAATCTCATTTTACGTCAAAATAACGTTTCAAATGAAATCACATTTTGTTTGAAAATAACTTTTAAAAGGCATTGAAAAGTGTTCAACATTTACGTCAATTTTGTCATTTGTTTAATTCAAAAATTAGTTTAACATTAAATAACTTAAATAATCGTTAATTAAATTATAACTTGTAAATAATAAAGTATTTAACTTTTAACAAATAAAACAATTTACAATTTATTTGTAAAACTAAAACTAAAACTAAATTAAAATTATGACCAAAAGTGTCGTAATATTTGTATTGAAAACCAAAACATTGAGTGAAAATCAAAAGCGATTTAAATGTGATTTGAATGAAGAGTTTCTGTGATTAAAGCCTCTGCAGAAGACATCATGAATACCATTAATAGTGTGAATGATTTGCTGAAGAATACATCCTCTGGTGTATGGAATTGTGTGACCAGTCTGTGGCCAAAGCAGTCGACAACTGATCCAATGGCCAAACAATTGGTATCGACGGCCAAACCGGTGATGAAATTGGCAGAAATGGCCACAAGAAGGGAGGTCTTAGCGCTTCTGCAGACCTCTCACTGGACACGAATTGCCGCCATCTTTGGTGCCACTGCTGTTGCGATGGGAGCCTATGGGGCACACGGTATGCATGCCATGGACACCATGTTATCATTAGACACACCATTCCTATTGG